CAACAAGGTTCAGAAGTCTTGTTTTTCTGTGTCCTACACAAAACGTGTTTCAAATTATACAATCTAGAAGCTGATATGAATCTCAACCCGCAATAACATGATCTTGCCTTGATAGTGCGAGGCATGGATCAACAAGGACTGACCTCCAAGGTTCCCACCCAATACCTAGCATCAACACCTACTGACATCTTTAGCAATACCAAGCCAGCTAAAATTCTAACCCAACGAGCTTAACCTCCGACCCCGACGACCTCCCTCAAACGTAACACAGCTGACCCGGTCAGCAGGGTATAGTAGGAAATAGGTCACATCGACAAGTACAGGGCCATGTAAAACGGTGAATTGGCGAGACCCATACAATTAATTACTCAATAATAATGGCTCCAAGGCCAACATAAGTGCCAATCCCGGTACGATACCCGAGGACCGGATGAGCAGGGAAGTGCTGGAATCCCCTAGAGATGTCCTCGGGGCCCGGGGGTAAGGATCTTAGTAAGACTACGTCGTGGTTCCAGAGAGGTAGCCCTAGAATTGGGTAGTGTGTACTTTCGATATCTCCCGGTTATACATAGAAAGATCCTCTATACGTTTACGCTTTTTGCCGCTTTTGGATGCATTTAAAGAGTCTTTTAAAAAGACCTTCTAAAAAGACCACCAAAAAGACATCACAAGGCCAGCATAAGCGGCTGACTATTCTTCCAAGGCATTGTCCATCAAATCCAGTCCTTGCGCCATCTTTGAATTATATTATTATGCAGCCCCGGCAATGAGCCGCCCAACCAACCGGTCCCCGGGTCTCGGCCTAGCAACACTGATAATCATGTGTCATGGTCCTGCGCTATTATCTAATAATGGGGTATTTGGTGACTAGTGTATATATGGAATGGACTAGGTATGTATGTATGGATTGGGATTGGATATGTAAGATGGATAATGTCACGGAGTACTTGGCGTTTGGTTTAATCGCGCATTTAGAGTATATGATATAGTTGTGTTTGATATGTGAGGGGGTGATTGAATATGTATTCTATGTATTCTATTCCCCTGAAGAATTCCAAGTCAGGTGCACACTACTGGTCCAATTGGGGGATCAGGATGTTATTTTTGTACCTGACCATACTACATTCGTGTCACTAGAGGAAGACACGTATTCGCAAATGAAACCCCACGTGAGGTCACAGGGGAATTAACTGTAGTTCTCTTAAGCGGGGTTGAGGTAAGTTGAGGAATGCGAGAGACGCATGACTTCCGGCAGGTCCCAAACCGAAAAAAAAAGTTGGGGAAAAGAAAATCTGGGGAAATTGGAAACGCACAGACACCGAAAGGGAGATTTGTTTCGCCGCTCGGATCACTCGGCCAGTCAGCGCACCTGAGAGCCGAAATTTTTTCCTTTTTTTTTTTTTTTTTTTTTTTTTTCCAACGTCATTCAGCATCTGGGGAACGGCACTTGACCTATTCCGTCTCGGATTCCTCGGCTCAGTAAGAAAAGACAACGAAGCCAAGGGGGTCAACCTTGGACACCATTCTCGGCATGCTGGGCAATGGTACGAGTTGAACTGCGGTGAGTGAATTCATTGATCTCCAAGACATCAGGTACCATGTGCAACAACTAGCCGATGCCCTAGACTCCCAAGGTTGGATCGACGGGGGCCGCTAAGGAAGAATTATCCCGCAAATTTCAGCACGATGGGGTCATCGTACATAGCGATCTGCGTGCTGAAATTTCAGTGATATATGGTATTTTATTCTATACTGATCTGAATCTGATATTGATATTCACTATGAGATCGGTATACATTGTGCAGTACTATAGTATAATCATTCAGGTTACATTATATTTGTACCACGTACATAGTTTCATATTCAGGCTTCCAAGGTTGCCACCTCACAAACACCGCAATTGAAAAATGTGTTGCACAATTAGCCCCTGTTCTCTGGAAATAGAAAGTGGACACGGCCCGGTGAATGATGCAATTGTTGGAGCAGTAAAATACCTGCGCTCTTGGTATTCTGTACTCAACAATACATCGTGAGTATTTTATTTTCTACTTCCAGCTCATGACTATAATGACAGCAATGCCGACTTCGTAATGAGACGCCAGCTACAACCTTGAAGTATGTTGTATGCCTAAATGGTCGGAATTGCGCAACACCTGACGTGCTCAAGAAAAATGGCCCCTGTTGCGGTGTGTGATTACAAGGGATAATAACGTGAGTTATACTGTGCATTGTCAAGATCTGGACACTCGATGATCCTGAAATGAGAGGTTTTTCTGCATTTCCTGGGGGTAATGGAAATCCCCATTGGCTGCCGAGGCAGTTTCTGTTACGTCTTGCCACTCACCATTGGTGGAGTAGCTCCAGTCAGATGACTTGGTTGCCCAGTGGACTATTTGGTAAAAGCAGCCAGAGTTTTGTCATCTGGGGGAGGTTCAGACCCAATCACCTTCCTTAACCAGATCACAGGGGCTTATTCAGGACACGTGTGTGTGCTGACATAGCATCCAAAATGGAAATATCCCTAGCCGCTAGACACCGATGACGACGGGGAAAATTTAAATTCGAATAAAAAATGAAAATTCAAAAAGAAATAAAAATAAAAATAAAAATTCAAAACAGCCCCCCCCACAGGACCTTGTGACTGGATGTCGTGCCTGGATCTGGAAATGACTCCAAAAAGGTCCCAGAGACTATATAACATGAAAGTCCCCGCTGTTTGCTAAGATCCATTATCCATTATCAAATCCTGCACTTGATGGAGTTTTCATAGTCCTTACAGCATAGACTGTTTATACCTCTATACTTCAGATCTACTTAATCTTCACACATCAATCATGCCTTCAAATTACCGCGTTGTTGAGCCGCACCCTTCGGTGCCCCATGCTGGCCGCCCAGCTGTCTACACTGGCCGAGGAGGATCCGGGAATGTCGTCAACCTGAAGAACACCAAGACTACCGACTCGCGCAGCGCAACCGGTCCCGCTTCTCTCGCTCGTCTCGACTCCCGCATCCCAACAACTTTCACCTCCGGCCGTGGCGGTGCTGGCAACGTCCACAGCAGTAGCGAGCGTGCCATCTTCAGCTTCGACGAAGAACTCGAACGTGATCTACGCCGCGCTGCCCCCGTCTACCACGTCGGACGTGGTGGTGCCGGTAACACCATATACCGCGACGACTGCAGCAATTCCAGCTTGAGTCGCAAGTACTCGGCTGCCAGCACGGCTACCAATTCCAGCACTGGATCCGTGGCTGATCGTGCCCGTGACATGGCCCGTCGTGGTCTTGAGAAGGGTTGGGGCAAGCTGAAGGGCACTGCCTAGATGACTTCCCTTAACAACCACACTTTTCTTCTCGTCTCTGACGAGATCAATATCAACGACATAACGACAACCAAAAAAGTTCTTGCCTTTCTCTTGACCACTTCTCATTTTTAATCACACGAGAGACATTGACAGCCCTCTCGCTACCTGTCATGTTTCCTTTCTGGATGTGTCTACGAATTATCCCAAATTCCAACCATCTACCATTTATCTACTTCCCATGGAACACACATCGTTTCTTTGTTCTCAAATGCAACCCTCACCCTCTTCACTCAATCTCAATCTCAATCTCAAATTCAAACATGGACAACCCGGCGTTTCATTGTTCTTCGTGGTTCATTTGCGCTCTCGCCAAACCACCCTTACATCAACACGCCAGGTTCTGGAAACCGGGTTTCTCTCTTTCAACGGAGTTTCATTCAACACACCCAAGATCGCGCCATCGAACAACAATTGTCTGGCAGCATCATTCTCGGAGTTCCTCCCCTTTTTGAGTTTCTCTCTCATAGTGTCGCACATTCTTGTGTTTTTCCCTTTTTCTGTTTTTCAACATATTCCCCCCAATACTGCGCCACTTTGAGCTACTACTTCCTAGCCGTGGGTTTTTAACAATGAATTGCAAATTGCTTGGGATTTCTTCCCTTGCTGGATCACGTGTCTCCAAATTTTTATATCCCATGGGCTCCCGATTACATCATTGTAGTAGTAGATTTCGTATTCTTAAGACGTGCTCATATGTCAAGACGTGCTTGTTGACTGAATGCGGTTCCACTCATGGCGAATCTAGACTTGGTGATGTCGCATGTCAAGACGTAAGGTTGTACCCGCGGATAGGCGATGACAGCCGAATATGATGTTTTCTTTGTTTTTGGGATCCACGGATGTCTGGGGGTTATTATTCTTTTGTCTGGTACATTTTATAGTCTGGAATGTTCTTGAGACTTGGTTATGGTTTTCTTTTGGTCCGTGGACAGATATTCTTGATTTGGATTGCCATTCTATATTTTCTTTGGACTCGGTGTGCGGTTCTGGATTCTAAGTCCACATGTAATAAGTGGCGACATATATATTTTCTTCTAATTTTTATTTTTATCAAGGCAATAATATAAATAAGCCTCCTTTGTATAAAATAAATATATTGCCTCCATACCCTGTGAAGCCCATCTACTGTACATTCCTACACCGGGTAGTACCCACATGGGCATGACTATGTTGTTGACTCATTAGGAGGCGAATTGGAGAATGATCAAATGTATTTTTATCATTATTGCCTCTTGTTCAAAGTAGAATTAATAAGATTGACCGCCTAGACTGCTATAATAATAATTGGAGATTCTAAAGTAGTCTACTTATATATATCGACTGAGGCGATCCAATCAAGCTACGTAAATGGAATAGGAAAATATATGGCGAGAACTTGTGTATGCAGGTATGTCCGAGTAAAATTATGTCTAGAGTAGAACCACCCCCAAGACGCGAAAGAGACTGTATTTGCAATAAAGTCAGAGCCAATGCCAAGACGACATGAGCTGGTTAGGAAGTTGGAAACTGGGGTATCAAGAGTCGGGGATGCGACTCGGATTTGTGATGTTGGTCGATCATTTCTTGGTATGTACTGCCAATTGCATGATGATCGATCCAGGTTGACAAGATCGGTTTCTTGTGATTGTTCTGGGGATTGGGGATGGTGCCTTGGGGATCGCATTGGAGGCAGTGAATGTGAACAGTCCCAGAGTTGACTCAGAAGCAGGCCACCATGATATCAAAGACTTTCCGTCATAGAAGAGTCCTTTATGCGAATCGCTTGTGAATCACCTCGGGATCCTCGTGCCATTCGTCTGCGCTTACCCACATCTAAAGAGTACTGAGTTAGCTGTGCTAAATTGCATGAGGGAAAGGTTTGCATACCTTTCTAAACGTGCTCAGCCCGGCAAGAATGCTACCACCAATCCACGTGGTGTACTTGCGCTCAGCAGGCGCAGAAATGCGGATCTTCATGTCCTCCACTGCTAGTTTTTTGATCTCGCGCATCAACCGATCAGGGAAGTTCTTGCACAGCGTTGAACCGCCAGAAAGCACAATATTGAGGTATAGCGATTTTCGCAGGTCGAGATCTGTGCGAGTGATGGCGTCCTGCACGATCTGGTGCACACCAGGATACTCGAGGCCGATGAGCTCAGGATCGAAGAGGATTTCAGGTGCACGGTAACGTTCTTGGCCGATCTTGAGAGGTAAATTCATTAGCATTGTTGTAATCCACGAACAAATCATATCCCCAGACAGTGCATACCTTGACCTTGTGACCGTCTGGAAGAACGTAGTCCATCGCCTTAGCATCAGACTTGTGGTAGCTGTTCATCCACTCCTTCTCTTCCCGCTTAGGATCCAGCGACACATAGCAGACCTTCTCCTTAATCATCCGCACCACCTCCTTCTCCGCGCTAGTGTGTAGCACATGTCCAGCCTTCCGCAGCAGCAATTGCATCTGTTCTGTAACATCACGACCAGCAACATCAATTCTCCGAATGCTGTTCGGAATAGCGAAACCCTCGAAGACAGGCACTGCATGAGATACACCATCACCAGAATCCAAGACGACACCCGTAGTCCGACCAGACGCATAGAGCGACAACACGGCCTGAATCGACATGTACAAAGCCGGGACGTTGAAAGCCTCAAACATAAGTTGGGCAGCGATATCACGGTTGGCGCGCGGGTTCAGCGGTGGCTCCGTGAGCAGGACGGGGTGTTCTTCGGGGAGTGTCTTGAGTTCGTTTTCGTAGACGTAGTGCCAAATTGATTCCATATCTTCCCAATTCGTGACGATGCCGTGTTCCAGAGGATACCTGATCTTCAACAGTCCGCGGAGTTCTTGTGCACGGGACCCGATGAACGAGTCTCCTTCCAGACCACCGGCCATCACCCGTGGGTGTTTGGGACGACCGACAAACGATGGGAAATAACATGATGGAATTTCCTCTCCGGCGAAGCCTGCTCGGATCGTGCCACTGCCATTGTCAATGACAATGGGCACGTTGTGAAGGGTTGCCTCAGCCATTGCGGGGAGTGTAGTGTGGATGGGGAGGTGATGTCGGGGAAGGACAAGCGCGGGTATAGACGGCCTCTCGGCCTAGAATGGGCGACTCGGAGGATTAATGGGGCGGAAGTTGGATTGAAGGCGCATATAATGTTTCGGTGGTTGGGCGTTGATGTTCTTGTCACTGATTCAGGAGTGGACGCGAAACCGCAAATCCGCAAATCGGGAATTGTCAACAAGGAGCTTGGGCCACTCCTAGTCCACGCCTAGTAAATTAGACTTGCAACAATGGAATTGAAGTTTACAGAATTATTATATCATTTTGACTTGCTCGTAGTGAAACAAGTAATGCAAGTCAAATATTTGTGCTAAAAACTAATTGGTGGTGGTGGTGGTGGTGGTGCAAAGAGGGTTTATAAAAGTACTTGACTCTCTTCGTGGTCTACCAGATGAGACTTCCACATCGATTTTATAGACCGAACTCGGACCGATTGCTTGATCGATGCCCGGTTTAATTTCATGCAACGTCATAATTCGTGATAAAAGCCATCTCCCAATCCCATTGTTCAGCCAACAAAAGCGGATTCGCGGAAATCGGTCCTTGTAGGTCACCAGATGGTTTCCTTTAGTCCAAAAAGCTCAACTCGTCAGACATACTTTCCGCAAGAGTTGTATTTCCAGTTCGCATGGACAATACCTCAGCTTTCTGAGTCTCTGCTTTGCTAATTGCATTGCCCACGTCGCTGATCTGAAGTTAGCCAGATTGGCCAAGTTGACAAAGGAAGGATGTATTATTTACTTGACCGAACTACTAATCACGTAGTTCCCTTTCTCTAGCTCATCAGCCAGTTCCTGCTGGTGATTATCGGCAAGATCTGGATTGGGAACCACAATCAGGGGCACCCCCAGGCGAAGACCTGCTAGAACAGTCCCACTTCCTGTGTGATGGTAAGTGGATCAGGCCTGACATATTTGGTGCGTGAAATAGTGATGTATCATACCGGCGTGACAGATGATCAAGCCACGCTCTTGATCAAGAGCCTCTCTTTCCACGGTCATCATCATTTGGGCATCAATGCTCGGCTGGAAGTCGAATCCCCCAAGGGTGAGACCGTGGTGGGGTTGGTCACTGTCGATGAAATCTTGGAAGACTTGCTGGCCATCTTTACCATACTGAACAAGAAGATGGGTGTAACCACGTTTGGCTAATATCTCGAGGAATTGTGAACTAAGTACTTGTTCAAGTAGTTTCTGAAAGGAAGCTGTGGCCCCCACAGTCACAAAACATAGCTTCATCGTGACGATGTTGTTGTGTTGAAATGGGCAGATATATCAACCTTCAAATATTCTGTTGCAGTCAGTTATCATTCTCACATAAGGGAACCGTAAAAAGATGCATCATCGAGATGAGAGAACAGTCCAAACATTAAGATGCGATCATATACCATGGTGTCACGTGTGGATAGACCACGCTAGGCCAAACCTGGAATAGCGCACGGCGGTGAACCTCGCAAAAGTGGAAGCGGAAAACATCGTGATTGAGATCCTGTCCCTACCTACGCTATACCCTCAACAATGGCTTCAGTAGCTCGGTTATTGACTCGCCCGGCCAGTCATATGGCCCGGAGGGGCCTCATGGCTCCCTCTGCTCGGTATTTCTCCGCCTCGCCGCTCAATCGCGTCCAGGATGACCCCGTGATTCCTCCTCCGCCGAAGGAACTCCAAGCGGATGATTACCCCCCAATGCCTGAGTACTCAGTCGATCTCTTGACCAAGGAGCAGCGATCGATGTACGATATGATGTCTCCCGAGGACCGCGCGGCATTCGACGAAGAGAACACCCGCATGGTTGCCGAATTCAACAATCCCCAGAAGCGCGCCGCGGCCTTCGAGGAAATCGACCAGGCCATTCTACAAATTGATAAAGAGGAGGATCTCCGATTCGAAGACATTCGCCCCCGTCGGCCTGGTTTCTGGGCCGAGGACGAGCCTGACGAGTTGGTCAACACACTCGAGGACGGAGACGAGGAAATCAATGATGACGAAATCACCTCCATGGCACACGCAGAGATGGAATTGCACCGTGAAATGAGAGAATATGCCCGCATTACAGCATGGGACATGCCAATGCTGAGCAGTAAGATCAATTGCTCATCGGGGACTACACTTCGCATCCACTGACATTGAACTATAGAGCTCGCCAAACCATTCACCCTGCCCCCCAAACCCATATCCTCCGCTTCCGCTACACTACCTACATGGGCGAACAGCACCCAGCCGAGCCCAAGGTCGTAGTGGAGCTTGCATCCCAAGATCTGACCCCCAAGTATCTCACCGAAGCCCAGCGCCAAACATTCCTCAAGCTGGCCGGTACGCGCTACAACCCGCAGACCGATATCATCCGCATCTCGAGCGAGAAGTTCGGCTCGCGTGCCCAGAACAAGCGCTACCTTGCAGATGTCGTTAACTCGATGATCAAGGAGGCCAAGGAAGGTGACTCCTTCGCCGATATCCCGCTCGACCTCCGCCACCACAAGTACAAGACCAGACTCCAATTCCCCGAATCCTGGAACATGACCGAAGCCCGTCGGAGTCAGCTGGCCGCGCGGCGCAAGGAGCGTCTAGCTGCCGAGGAGACGCGAGCTGCCCTTGTGGACGGTAATTCGGTTGTCTCCGAAGCTATCAAGACTCTACCTTCGCTTAACCCTGCTCTCCAGGCCAAGGCTACTGACGAGCGGGAGCGTGTTGCTGTCAAGATTGGCGCGCGGAAAAAGGTGGCTCGTCGATGATAGATGTTTCGTCAACTGTATATTGGGTGTGTTTGAGAAGCTGTTGTCAGACATTTGCGAGGCGCGGGCGCATATTTTAGGATTTTTGGCATCTTTTCTTTCGAATGTACTATAGTCATTTTATTCCATGCATTGGCGGCTCGCTGTTACTCCATTCCATCTTGTAGTTTGCCTTTCGACTTACAGCCCTACGAGTATGTTACTGTCTATGGGGCTCTACCTCAGTGCTCATAATTACGTATATACTACTGGAATGGAATGGAAAAGGTCAATAGATAAAAACAACGCATTCAACTTCAAATGTTGTGATAGATATCTCTGCCAAGACTAGGGGAGTCAGCAAGAACCAACTGCAACCCCGTCAGCAGCCAAATCCGACTCCATCTGTACTCGAACCAACAATGATATCCTATCCATGACAGACGGGAGACCTTGCTGCAGTTCAAGAGCCGAAAATAACAAATTTGCAAAAGAAATCACAACTCCATATGGGCACAATATCATCCATATTCGCAACGCCTCCACGGGTGTAACAATTTCCCAAACCCGGGCAAAAGAAAACAAAAAAATAACGCAAAAAATAAAGCAAAAAATAAAAAAAGCATGTCCGCAACGCAAGTATCTCCTATCTCTCACTCATGGTGTCTTGTCTTGTTGTATGTCTGGACCATTTTCCGTGCTTGTGGTTCTTTGGTATAGTCTCTGTGTAGTATGATATCGCATAATTTTACCTGGTAGGTTGGCATCGCAAGGAAATCACGTCGATGCACCAGATCTCATAAGTGGCACGAAAAATAGATAAAGATGGTCAGTGAGTGGTAACATGCAGGAAGAACATGAGTACCACCCTCTAGGCCAGGCACGCCTGAGTAAAAGTTTGCCGAATAGTCCAATTAGCTGCTGTGAGGGTGGTTGGAGTAAGGTCCAAACATGTGCGCAATGTTCTCAACAGGAGGCGAAGTGCGCTTGAGGATGGGACCTCCAATGGGACCCCAAGTGACGCGAGTCTCGGCCGAGTTCAGAGGCACGTTGTCGGTGAGCTGAAGATCTCCAATCTGGGGAGTGGAATGTCCATAATTCCTCTGAACGGTACCACGAGAGCTGTTGGAGTCTGACTGGTTCCGGGAAGGAACATCAGCACGAGCGAATGCACTCCAGTTCGAATCGTAGGTCACAGCGGGCTCCTTGGGGAGCATGACACCGCCATCGGAAGAAGGGTTCGAGCTGAGCTGGTACATGTGGCGGGGCTGGATGCGGTGATGGAGTTCAACCGGCTTGTGTGAGGTATTTTCGAACAGATCTTGATTACAATCGGTCAGCTCGCTGAGCTTCCAGTACGTATTCCGGTTGAGGGAGTTACCGTCATCCAACAGAGACTGGTGGGGAGCCATGGGAACAGCAGCATGACCAGTAGTCGACATAGTAAGTGGCACTGAGACCGGAGCAGCGGCCGGGGTGGTTGGGGTGCAAACTTGGTCACCGCCATATTCATGAGCTCCATAGTTGGAGGTAGCCGGGATGGATTCCAAGCTGGGGGAATACTCGCTGCTGTGCTCGCTGTCACGCTCGTTGCTAACGACATGACGAGCATTGCCCATGTTTCGGTTACGGCCACCGCGATGGGTACCCTTCCAGTTGTTGCCATGATGTCCATTCGGGGCCCCGTTGCGGCCTCCACCTCGGTGCTGATTGTGGTTACCATATCCGTTGTGGCCTCCACGGTTGGCTGGTCCACGAGGAGGGGATTTGTTGAGCTGAGGGGGGGACTTGTTCAACTTGGGGGTTACATGATCAGTGGAGTTCTCGTTGGTAGGCGAGGCTGAGGATGGAAGGGCCCGCATGGGGGGCTGATTTGCAATGGTAAGCTGCGGACGATCTCGGTTCGGGTGCAAAAGACTGGCAATGTTATGCTTCTCGCGGAACCAGCGGGGAATATCGCGGAGACCAAGTTTCTCAATCGTGTGGAAGTCGGTGGGCATTTCATGCTTGTACAGGCAACCTATGCGACACAGTGTCAGTTAAGACCTCATAGGGTCTTGGGAATCCAGTCAACTTACCTTGCTGAGAGTAATCACACTCGCCGTGACGAATCCAGTACGAGCAATACTCCTTCTTCGAGCTTGCGGCCTGCGTTGAAAGAGTCAGAAACATGAAACATAACATGCCAGGAGCACTCAGCCATACATGCTTATTTCCCGTGTGGGAATTCTTCGCATAGAATGTCGGAGCAATGGGAGACAGTCCACTGGCAGAAGTGCCTTGACCACCAAGTCCGTTAGGGCGCTCGATTCCCTGTATGAGAATGGCCTGCGCCGATGACCGCATGGTCTCGGGGACATCATTGTTGGTGAGAATCTGCAGCAAGAGGCTGTGCATATCTGACAAAGGTTCCTTTCCGACGTCACGCTCAGAGGACTGGGTAACCCCGTTGACAAACCAAGGTTCAGCACGTTGGGTAGCCAGGCCACAGCTGGTCATACCCTGGGTTTCTCCAGCATTGAGGGTGCGAGAGATACCACGGATGGTGACGCTAGTGGGCAGCTCATCAAGAGCTACCAGTGGGGTCAAAGTCCCGTCAGGGCGGGTACAGAAAAATTGAGGGCGACTAGGAGTCGCCATCTTGACAAAAGGTAAGACTTGATCAAGATAAAAATGAGGTATGGAAGGAGACAGTAATGTGCAATAATAATGGAGTGATAGAAGAAGAAGTAAGAGGGATGAAGGAAAGAAGGTGGGGAGAAGACGTTTGTGGGAGAAGAGGGTTATAGGAGAGGTGACAAGCGACAGAAGAGGTAGGTGACAGGTGACAGGTGCCAGGGTGACAGCTCTGGAGATGACAGGTGATAAGGGGATAACCCTAGACAAACGGACACAAATTGGGATGAAGATGGGATGAGAAACTGAAGTTGGTGGGGGAAACACACAATCTCATATATTGGAGACCCTGGGAGACCCTGGGAAACCCTTTGAGATCTTGAAGCTTGACTGTGCTAATTATCTACATATCAAAGAGATATATGAATCGAGCTTATACAATGAACTAGTCTACAGACTATCCTGGATACACTGGATACACTGGATACACAATGGGGGGTTTATCTATCTTTAAGCTCACAATCAGATCCGCATGAAGACAAAGACCCCCTAGTCTATCAGATTAGGAAATGAGGATACAGTGATGCACATGATATGGCGACATTGTTTCTCTGGGCATATCAAAGAGCAAGAAAGAGCAGAAAAATCTAAAACAGTGTAATCATAGACCACTAAACGACATGAATAAGCCGTGTATCATTTGGAGTCTAATGTCTTTGGCTTGTAAAAGCATTGTGAACGCGTGTTCTTGATATAAATGACCGGCTGCCTGCAGAATATGCTTAGTCCAATTCTAAACTTGACCTTCCATACCTTTTCCACGTGTTTACTATGCATGTGCAAGGTCTCCAAAGTCATAGTCCTTTGCACTTTGTCCAGGGGTAGAGGGCAGAATAAGAGTGACCTATGACCTACTAATACAGACAAATATTGGAGTATTATTTGTGAAAATAACACAATGATCTTGTCTCTTAATCTAGTGCAAGGTTTCTATGGGTATCTGTAAATTATCTTCCCTCCCTGGGATACCCGGTACGACTCATCTCACTATCAATGTCCTTGGCTACCTTATGTCAATCATCTAACCTCTAGAGCCATACATCTTGTTGAAAAATACACTAGGAGGAATTAATAGTTGTTTCCCTTTCATAATAAGGAAAACTTGTATTGCTTGTTTGAAAAGGGACAAAGTGTTTTCAGGCAGCTGCCATCAACCTGCCAATAGCCCAAACAGATGAACAAGAGCATATTCAGAGATACAAAATCAAAATCGGTCATAAAAATAAACAACAAAACAAATAACCTTTTGCGCTCTTTCCCTTTCCTGTCGTGTCGTATGTCGTTCACAGCGGAGCCTTGGAGGCCCCGTGACTTGACTTGACCTAACTCTCGCGGTAGAACACAATTTCCCAAAATTTGAACACCTTTCAAACTAGAAAATCCACCGATTCCAGCATAACTTCCAAGCCAAATAGACTCTTCCATAAAGACAAAAACAAATGAAATGACAATATTTCTCAACGGTGATTCTGCCAAGGCTATCGGGCGACCTTGGCCCATGGCATGCTCCTCTCCTACAGCGAATCCCAGGAACTTGACAGTTAGGCCTCTTGCTTGATCTGGGCCTCTTGCTTGATCTGGGCCTCTTGCTTGATCTGGGCCTCTTGCTTCGGCTAGGCCTCCTGTTTGAGCCAGACCTCTTGCTTGAGATGGGTGGCTTCCTGCTTAAACCAGGCCTTTGGCTTCTGCATTGGCAGATTTTCTTCCATTTTACGCTCTAGTTCTTGTTTTCTCAACTTAACTCTCTCTGCGTTCTTCTGCCGGTATTCTCGTCTTTTTGATTTGATTCGGTCTGCGTTCTTGTGGTAGTATTCTCGATGGTACTCTCGCGTTAACGATTTGATTCGGTCTGCGCTCTTGTGGTAGTGTTCTCGTCTTTTCGACTTTTTTCTTTCTATCCGCAAATGTAAATGTAGACATGATGCGCTAAGCCCGGCGGATGGTCGATGAATTTCCCCGGAAACATTCTGGTATGTATCGTAGAAATGTTTCTTTTCTTCAATGGCCTCACCCACATCCAAAGCCTTGTTCATTTCATGCTTCAGTTGTAACAGGTCTAGAATGCTCCCCCAAACAGTGGTTACAACTGGAAGAGCTTCCATGGGTAATTTGGCAATCCAGTAGTCTTTCGCCGGGCTTCAGTTCCTTTCCCCATTGCATGAAACATTTGAGACAGAGCTGGCCTTCTGGCTTTGTGTCCGGAGAATCGGGGGAGTTCTGGGTACGTGTCTCTTCTAAAAGATCTTGGGAATCGAAGGACGCGAGACTGCGCTTAGAGTCGGAGTGGTCAGGAGTGGCCGTCGCTTCATTTGGGTCAATTTTGGGGGCCAATGGCATCTCGGTATCCTTGCAAGATGAATCTGGTTTCACGCCAGTAGCGGGATTCCGTTCCCTAACACTAGCTGCCAAATCAGGGTCAGGCTTTTCAGCCTTGATTGATGGCTCAGTTGGATCAATTTTGGGGGCCAATGACATCTCAGTATCCTCGCAGGTTGGATCTTCCTTTGTAATAGTAGCTGTTTTCTGGTCTTCAAGACGAGTTGCCAAATCAGGATCAGGCTTCTCAATCTTGATGTGTGGCTCAGTGGGGTCGATCTTCGGGGCCAAAGGCATATCGATATCCTCGGGCAATGGTTTTTGATCAACACCAGTAGCGGCCTTCTGATCTTCAAGGCTATCTAGCATATCAAGGTCAGGTTTCTCAACCTTGATCAATGACCCCTTTGCTACATCATTGATATACCTGTTAATACTTCCACTTTCCCTAAGGAGGATAGCTCTTTTATGATTTCGTAGAACAACCTTGTTCATGATCATCATCTGGTGTTTTGACTGGAACAACTCTAGCCCGAGGCTTAAGGACGCTTTCCGAGATGTTAGGCTCCTCAAGCTTCTGTGTGGTCTTGCGCTTCACCTGCGATGAAGCAGTGCGGTCTGCCTTCATCTCTGCGAACGCTTGTTCAAGGCGGTGCGTCCGCCGATGATGATGCTTTTGGGGGGGACCCATGTAGTGAACCCGGTTTAATGAAGTTGCTTGAATGATGAAGGTAGGGGATGGGGATGTGGGGAGAGATGAAGAAGAAAGACGGCCGTATGTCCGTCTTTGTTTCTTTAAATATTGGTTTGTTGCTAGACATGCAACGACTAACAATCCTCTTAGATTGCATAGTGAGATTCTTATTGAAGGATTGTGTAGTAGCTTCTTCAAATGTAGAGGTTTGCCTAATTTGGATTGCTTTTCTGGTTGTGTACAATCTGTACCTAGGGTACTATATAGTAAAAGTGTTTGCTCAAAAGTCTATAGAAACAAAGAAGTTATCTATAACTCTAGATCCTAGATCTCTCTACTCTTCTGCCATGCCATCACATTGACTGTATCAACATGAACCTACTTGTTCTACATGCAATACTGCTGTAACCATCCAACTTCAGGTTGATGTTGATTCTCTTGATTCCCTCCTAAATCTAACAAGAACAAAGCTGGGTATCTTTCGCTCCCAATGCCTATAACGCCTCCTTTTTTTTTTTTTTTTTTTTGGTTTTGATCTCTTTTCTTTTCGAAAGATGAACCATTGAACTCCCCCCAATGCAAATTGACGCTCTGACAATGTATATGAACAGAGAGCGGTAAGAACAAAAAGATATAGAAAATAGAGAGGAGCCAGCGCTCATCTCACACGGTGATCGCGAAATGATCAAATTTCACCCGTACTGGGGCCGCCGCAGCAGAAATTCCAGATGAGCTTTAGGGCTCACCACTTGCCTTTGTCAAATCAATGATATTGGTGCGGCCCCCGCTAACTGAGGATGAGGTGAGCCGATTTTGAGGCTCCGGCTGAGCAGAAAGCAAAGCCTTCTTCCGCTCATCCCGAGCGGTCCGCGCAACCGATTTGAGAATACCTTGAAGGTATTTCCTTGCTCCGTGGATGAGAGATGGGGCCTCCGTACTCTTCTCCAACGCCTCCAGCATACGGGTGACCTGTATGGTTGACTGCATGTGGGGGCAGGCGCGGCGGCCTCCCAAGTGTGCCAAGCCACACAGGCCACAGAACTCGACGCCGGCCTGGCGGAGTGGGCAACACCCAGGGATGTGCCGTTGTTGGCATGCCGCGCAAGGCAGGAAAGCATTTTGGATGCCATCGGTTCCTATATGTGCCACCAGGGGTGGAGATTCAACACGGCGGAACGCGCGGGCTGCCGTTTGAATCATGTATGTTAACCAAAATGTGTTTTAATGCACGCAATAAGGAATGATAGGGTAGACTTAAAACCAAAAAGAAAGAAGAAAGAAAAACGAGTAATAAAAAAAACGCTTGGAATTGGGATGAATTAGTCCTTACCTCGCTGTTCAGCATTCAAGTTGTTACCGACAGCGACTTCCTCTACAGCTCCGCCTTGTTCAGCTCCAGGTCCAGTCTCCTTGTCACCAACCCCAGTGCCCATTGGTTCAATTCCATCATATGCAGTGACCATTGGGTCACCTCCAAGGTCGGACTCAGTCTCATCACCATCGTCGGGTGCCTGGTAGTCATTATCTTCTGCGGTGCCCTTCCGCATCTTGGTAGGCGGTGGCTTGGGGGAACTGGGATTCTCGTCGTCGTCGACTCCTTCGATGATGGTGCTGTAGCGGGGCGCACCGCGTTTTCTCTTACCACGCCCAAGACCCTCAGCTTGTCGGTTAGCCTCCTCGAGCGCTTCACGCTCACGCTCCTGCAGAATCTTCTCCCACACCGTAATGTCCACAGGGGTGTCCTCAGTCTCAGTCACTTCTTCAAGGCTACCTTGATCCTTTTGCCACACCCGGGCGAAATTAAACTGCGCCTGGTCATTCTGGTTGGAACTTCCCTCGTTGGCCACTTGCTCGGCCTGCTCAGCCTGGCTACGGTCCAACAGCTTGTCAATGGAGGGGCTATCATAGGTGATATCTGCCGAGTTATCATCATTGAAGAGAGCCTGGGCACCGTGTTTGAGGATTGATTCCAGGTCTTCTTCTTCATCCTCGTCGGCTTCGATGCGATCGATAAGTACGTGGTCAAGGGCCATCTTGGTTTTACCTTTCTGCATGATCTTTTCCTCCACTGACGCGCGCACTACCAGGTGGAATACAAGAACCGTATTCTTCTGTCCGATTCGATGGGCACGGGACAAAGCCTGCATATCTTGCTTGGGGTTAAAATCCGGATCCATGATGATCACTGTGTCGGCAGTGGCGAGGTTGATTCCCACACCACCCGACCGTGTCGAAAGCAAGAAAGCAAAGAATGGGGAATCCGGCTCGTTGAACTGGTCGATTTGCTGTTGTTTTTCTCTCGAGGACAAACGTCCATCCAGGCGACAGTACTGGAGTCCCAGCCCAGTGAGGAAGTCTTCAACAATGTCAAGGTTTTCTAAGAATTGACTGAAGATGAGGACGCGGTGTCCACGCTCTCGAAGTCGGGGTAGCATCAAATTCAGCAACTGAAGTTTCCCAGATGCTTCGACCAAGCGCCGATGGGAAAGTTGCATATCCAGGGTTTGCTCTTCAATGTCCCGGTTGTAGATGAACGGGTGGCAAAGACACTTCCGCAGCTGAATGAGGATATTGTTCAGATTGTGCCGCTCCGCTTTCTTCAATTGCCCGGTTTGCTTCTTGCAAATAGCCTTGATAAGCTGCGGGCTCCTTCGCAGAATTGATTTGTACAGTTTCTTCTGCACAACGGACATCGAAATTGGGATGATGATTTGCACCATCGGGGGGAGGAACGGCAAAACCTCTGCCTTGGTTCGACGCAGGAGGAATGGCCGAATCATGTCGTGGAGCTTGCGAATGTCTCCCTTGTCGAGGGCCCCTCCGTATTGGGCCTCCAATTGCTCGGCATCGTAAGTTGGGTCGATGAACTGAACCAAATTGAACAACTCTCTAATATTGTTCTGAAGTGGTGTGCCAGTGAGCAGCAACTTGAAACCGAACTTCATGCGACGAAGGCGCTCATAGAGCAGGGTCTTGTCATTCTTGAGGCGTTGACCTTCATCAACCACCAAGCCGGCCCAATTGACACTGGACAAGACTCGTTTGGCCCCATCGTCGGCCATGCTCTCGTACGAAGCAATGACAACATGACAACATAGAGTGCCATTCTTGTGGAACATCTCATACTCCCTGGTCATCTCGCGAGCGAAAGCACTGCCATAATATGTGACAACGCGAACGTCTGGTGACCAGCTCTTGATCTCTCGGCGCCAATTTGGCACAGTCGCATTTGGAACAACGACTAAGAATGGGAAACAGTCGAGCTGTTCGATTAATGCGGAGAACAGCGTCAGGACCTGGATTGTCTTTCCAAGGCCCATGTCATCAGCAAGAATAGCGTTCTTCCGTGTGAAGAACATGTAAAGCAGCCAGTTAACACCATCCAGCTGATACTCCATGAGCTGACCACCAGTCACCAACGCAGGCTGAGCATTCATCATAAGACCCTCGTCAAACTCCTCTCTGCGGGCATCTTTGAGGCGGCTCTGAAGATCTTTCGGCTTCGGGGGGTGGATATCCTCTCGGAGCACCCTGTCCGTAAGAGCAGTTTGGAAGTCCTCCCAACGGGCTGTGTCAGTCTGACTTGGGGGTTCTTCCCAGACCGAGTCTTCATAGGTCAACCCTTTGTACTTGACATATGCTCGCTTCACCATCTCCGCGTTTGCCCGATCCTCTTGGGATTCAGGCTCGATGCGATATTCCACATCAAAGATAATGTCCACTCGCAGATTGTCTTCGGGGACAGCCTCGGCTGTTGTCATAATGGGTTTGGTTGACCGATCTGACTTGAGGAACGATTTCATCTGGCCGGCTGGGGCCTTGGACCAGACCCAGTCTCCAGTTAACCAGGTAACACGGAAGTAGGACTTCTTGTTCCACTTGACAAGATATTCTTTGTCGATCTCCGGGATCATTTCAACCAACCGCGGGACGACATTGACTTCGGGGTTCTTCGGTCTCCAAGCAACGATCACATGGATTGGGTTAGCCCCTGGGGGAGATTCAGAGCAGGTATCGCATTGCCAGTTAGCAGGATCAATGTTAGCACGATCCTTCTCTGCCATGTTCGATAGATGCTGGAGATGGAAGGCTCGTTTGCAGCTATGAGTATCACCAAGGCATCTGACGAGGACGTTCTCAGCATTGTTGACACGAGACATATCCACGTGGGTAATCGGATCTATGCCATTATTGGCTTCCCGCAATTGTTGCTCAGCCTGGGAAGAAAGAGTGTGCCGCAAAGGCTGCGACATGGGTCCTTCGTCTCTGCACACGGCACAGTGGCCCAAATGAGGCTTCATGTCATGCTCTTGGTGCTTGATCCCCAAGCAACGACTGCATTGAAGAATGAAATCACCATCGTCAACCTTGGTGACCAAGTGCTTTCGGCTGCTTCGATCTCCAAGACAACCTTGGTGATATGACACAGTACAACCTTGACAGAAAACCAAAACCCCCTTTTCGGGGTCATGATCTTCATAGCCGCATTGAGCACATAACTGGGAGTGGCACTGTCTGAACTCATTGCCGAGTGGTAGTTCACGAAACTGCTCCCGGGCACCTGAGAACTTTTGCTTAGGTTGCTTAACTTCGCGCTCGGAATATTCGTCATCTTCAAGGCGCTCTTTCATGTTGCGTCGACGAGTTTGTCGCAGACGGGATGATGCTCGTTTGCCTGTATCGGAGACGGAGGACTGTTCAGACCATTTGTGAGTGCGTTGCTTTCGGCCCTTTTGCACACCTCTTTTCAGATGGCGATGTTTGGTTGGAGCATCATCATCATCTTCATCATCGCTAGACTCTTCTGAGTCTTCAATCTCCACGCTGGTGCTATCTTCGCGGCGGGTTTGGTAGTCGTCATCGTCATCTTCATCCCCACTGCGGAAGAAATGATCGTATGAGATTGCTGGGCCACGACGTTGGCGCCTTCGTGCAAGTCCCCAGTCCATGTCTGAATGATAATCTGCAGGGCCATCTCCACCTGAGTAAATGAAGTG